TTGTGCCGTTGCTAACATGGCTAGAATTTTCTTGCGTAAATATCCACATAATTAGCCCAGTCAAGAAGGTCGTAAGAAGCGACGTGTATTTCACTTTCTGTTAAAACTGCAGTAAAACGGTAGAACGTACCGATCTCGATTCCGAACAAGAGCTGGTTTATTCAATGTAGTTGTTTTTTTTATCAGATGACGGAAAATATGACACCGAAATCCGGAGTTGCATTTGAATAACGAAAGATGCCTTCCAGAAGCGAATATTTCGAAACAAGAAAAGAACTGCTATAGTATATCAGTCTGTAGATGTTCCTAACAGACAGTGATGATCCTACATCTTGGTGATCCTGAAGATTCAACAGATGTGGGGATAACTTTCCATCCAGCAACAATAGGTTCGAGGATCAAAATAACAAACCCTCTTGGTTATGACTATAAACTACATCCGTCAGCAAGGCCTCTGATAGGCAGATTGAAGCTTGTGAGGAGCATTTAATTGCTATTGTTCTCAGCTCGAACCCGAGTTGATACGTTGCTGACACATCAGTCTAGTGCTGCTTATCCACTCTCCTGATCATGTAGGTAAGGACCGGAGCTGGCCACCTATCTAACTATCTATCTATCTATCTATCTATCTATGACGATAAACTACATCCGGCAGCCTGGCCTCTGACCGGTAGGGTTTCAGGAGCTTGGGACCACCTATTAATTGCTGTTGTTCATAGGTTCACACTGACCCAGGCTGGTAGCACCGGTTAGGGTCCCAGCTATCGGCAAATAGGTAACCGCCAAACAGGGTTCAGAACACTATGAAAGTATAAAAACAGATTTTTATAGTAAAAAATAGGAGCAATACATTTTTGGGAAGAAAAAAAAAACCTGCAATATATTTGACTCTCGGCAAAAAACAATCTTTACAAAAATATATCAATGAAACCTGATCTACAAACTGATTTCTTGCAAATAATACATATTCTATTGATACGAACCTATTCTAAAAATCTTGTTGGCATTAAATAACCCATTGACGTCGATATACCGTAAAACGAAATAAACCAAACCATGAATGGCAAACTACATATACCCTTGGGAAAGGTATGAATCTAGCTCCCCCCTCCAGCTATAGTAAAGAAACCAACCGCCAAAATGTAGGGCACCTCAACGTGGTCGATATTTTTTGACTGAAGTGATTATTGAGTGACTTTTGAGTGGAACTATCCAGTCGAATTAGTGTGAATTGTTGTGCATCGATGATTTGGGTTTTGATTAAGGATTTACCGAACGTTAAGCCGGCTGAGCTACTACCAAGGTATTCACTGAAATGGTTAATTATCTTTGGTTGAGTTGTACTTCTTTGTTCTTGTTAAGTATTTACGGTTGTAATTAAGTACTGTTTTAACTTAACATTGAAATCTTGAATTATACTTAATTATTAACGGCTATCGTATGTCATAAAACTCTATCTATCTATCTATCTATCTATCTATCTATCTATCTATCTATCTGTGTCGGTTCAGCATCTATCTATCTATCTATCTATCTATCTATCTATCTATCTATCTATCTATCATATAGAAAGAAAATGAGTAACTACCGGCACCGAGCTTCGAGCGTGACACTCTGGACTTATGAATATATGCTTTCCGCCAGGTGTATAAATTGTGGTGTCAGGCTACTGACTGCGCTGATTATTATGTGACTATTGAGTGAAATTATCCAGTCGAATTCGTGTGAATTATTGTGCGTCGAAGATTTGGGTTTTTATTTAGGATTTACGGGACGTTGAGCCGAGCCGCGCTACTAACAAAGTATTCACTGAAATGGTTAATTATCTTTGGTTGACTTTTACTTCTCTGTTCTTGTTAAGTATTTATTTGTGGTTGTAATTAAATACGTTTTTTATCTTAACATTGAAATCTTCAGTTATACTTAATTATTAATTGCTAACGTATGTCACAAAAAAAGTGTTACAATATACCATGAATCGGAGCTTCACGCTTTCGAAATCATTTGTTTATTCTTATATTTGGCTTTCTACATATCGATCACTCCTTTCCTTTGAGACACACAAACACACATATGCTTACAACGTTTTAGCCCCCGCTCCCTCTGCAAAAAAAATTGACATAACTTAAAAAGTGTATATCTGAGTAACTCGTTGCGGATTTATCACAATCAGAATCTACCAGAAAGAAATGTCGGGCGTGCCACGTATAATGACAATATGTTGTTGAAATGGTCACCATATTCACCTGAATTGGCGCCTTGTGATTTTCTCATGAAGCTATGTGAAAGGACAAATCTATATTCCCTCTCTTCCTATAAACCTAGACGAACATAAGCAGAGAAACACTGAGGCGCTGGAGAATGATACGCAAGACATGCTACAGCGTGTTTGGCACGAGCTGGACTAACAACTTGACGTGTGTCGTGCCACAGATAGTGCGCATAATAAAAGCTTTGTGAAATCAATTTTAAAATCTTCATCCATTTGAATATCTTGTTGAAATTTTGATAAATAAATCTTTTATTCTTCAACATGAAGCCGACTTAATTTTGTTTGACCGGGATATGAAGTTACTCAGATATTCATATTTTAAATTATGTCATTATTTTTTGACATCCTATATATATATATATATATATATATATATATATATATATATATATGTGTGTGTGTGTGTGTGTGTGTGTGTGTGTGTATAGTTGTATATTTAGGCAGCAATCCTTCGTTTATGCATGTTTCAACAAAAATGACAGACAAGGTACTATGGTTAAGCTTTTTATTTAATTTTTCTTGTGTTCGAACAAGAGCTTTCTTTTCTGGACAAAGGGTGTGTAAGAACTGTCCAAATGTTTTATATTTCTGAACGCTTTCGGCTATAGCTTTAGCCATTACCAAGGATGATTCAATTTTTAAGCTTAACTGAGTGTGTGCATTATGTGCATATTTTAGTGTGTTGTAGAGATGTTTTTAATTTCCGAATACGGTTAGCACATTGTGGCCTTGTTCGCAGTTAATATTGTTAAGAGTTGGCTTTTTCTTTATTATTATGAAAGCTTCCATTATTTTTAATCTTTTTTTTACAAGTGAATGAAGTTATTATATTTGTGTTTTCGACTAGTATGTTTCTAATGGAGTCTGGTAAGTTTGTGTGTGTTTAAATGGGTTCTAATGGAGCTGTGATCAGATAGGTGTAACGTAAGGCGTCTGGATAAGCATGTAGTTGTGTAACCGATGTCATTTTTAATGAAACATATATATATATATATATATATATATATATATATATATATATATATATATATGTGTGTGTGTGTGTGTGTGTGTGTGTGTGTGTGTGTGTGTGTGTGCGTGTGAAAATATATAGAAAATAGGAAAGAACTCGTTAGGTAAATAATCCAAAGTTCTTTAGTATTTTGTTATTATTTTTTAAAAATATTGCTCGATACAAAAGTAGAGCATAAATATAATTATTTATTTAAAAATGTGATTGCAACACGCTACATAAGAGGTCTCATGTTTCAAAACAAGAGCCGAAAACTTCAATATAATTATTTGAATTAAATTGAATTAAAGTAAGCTCTGTTCCATCTTCAAGCGAAATTTTTTTTTTGGAATAACTTATTTCTGAAATTTACGTGTTTTAATAGCATAGTCATTATTGAAATCAAAATCTCCATGGTAACTGCCAGAGCGATTGTTTAAATAGGAAGGGGTGTTGGGTGTTAATAATTTGTATCAGTATAGAGTTACATTCATAGATGCCAAGTCAGGGTAAGGTAGGAGTGTCTAAATTTAAAACGGAAGATGTTTTCGCCTAGTCTGGTTTACGTATCTATGGAGATTTATTTATTTTTTTATTTTATTTTCCATCTACAAGCGAAACTTTTTTGGGAACCTACTTATGCTCTACTTTTTTATCGAGCACTATTTTAAAAAAATAATAACAGAAATACTAAAGAACTTTGGATTATTTACCTAACGAGTTCTTTCATATTTTCTATATATTTTTACATATATATATATATATATATATATATATATATATATATAGTTCACGCGCATGCGTAGTCGCATCAACATAAACATCACTGATGAAGACCTAAAGAAAGAAAGGCGTCACACGAATATATATATTATTTTTCGTAGATTTCGAAAAAAATTTTTTATAAAAATCCACCAAATATTTTCATCGTTATATTTATTTCATTCTTTTGATACAAAGCGATTTTAATATCAGTAAACAAAATGAATAAATAGAAAATAGAAAAAATAAATATAATCAATAAAGACTCACATAATATTCATATGAAAAATCTGATGTATACAAATTTCTACACCCTTGTTCAAATTAATTACAACTGCATTAGTTTCCTTTCTTTCCCCATACGGTCATTTTTAGACCCACTGGAATGACAGGGTGTAATCGATTTCTATTTTTCTTCAGATTAGGTCATTTGCAGTGGTGTGCTGTAATATGAATCTATTTTCAGGGTGTATGATGAAATTTGTTTGGCCTTGAAAAATAATGCGTCATCCGTGATTGCATCAGATTTTTATCACGCCCAGACACTATTGTCTCGACTGTCGATTAGTTGTCATACAGCCATTGTCTGCGATGGACGTTACTCCAAGGAAGCGTACGAAAATTGTAACGTTGCACGAACAAACTAGCAAGTCTTAACAGTGAACAAATCAAAGTACTATCGACTGGCCCGGAAACTCTCCTGATTTAAATCCAATCGAGAATCTGTGGTCAATCTGCAAGGGACGACTTCGTGGAATGGACATACGAAGTACTAACATGTGCACTGGGTCATCTTTCATTGGAAAAATACGAAAAAGTAAATAATAACGGAATTATTCGTTTTGTTTCAATTAATTTGCACATGGGTGCAGGTGATCATGGTTCTCCACATCTTCCTGTATAATTAATTTGCACAAGGGTGTATATTCAAAGTTTCAAAATACCTAAAATTATTATTTTTTAATAAAACTCTAACTACCTTCTACCTTTTTTCATTGTCTCAGCGCTCCTTTTTGACCCATGCGACTATCGATGTAGTATGAAGAATTGGATTTATTTGTTTCTCAATTAGCCACACATTTACATTGTTAAGTAGGATTCAATGCTAAACGTCGGAACATCAGTATTCAGCTAACGAGTATTGGTTGATTCACGTCGTTGCAGTTGACTGTGTCACTTACCTGCTATCGATCATTGCATGTGAATTTTTAGTTGCACTGTTTTTCAATTGCATTATTTTAAGAACGATTCAGTACTACTAGTCGCAAATTCTACTAGCAGCCACGATATCCAGCGAACTAGAATTGGCTGATCTGCACGATAGCTGACTGTTGCTTAGCATCCGCCATCATTAAAAAAATACCTACACAACGAACGACATAATGTTCATATGAAATATTCAATTTGCATACATTTCTCTTTTCTATCATAAAAAAAACACCCACATGATGACTTATATAATGTTCATATGAAATATCCAATTTATACAAATTCCTATCTTCAAAATATACAATTTGTACAATAATCTAAATACTCCAAATTATTATTTTGAGCAAAACTTGAACACCATTAACCAGTTTCTATCTTTTTTCTTTCTCTCTCTTGCTCCTTGTTGATCCATGTGGCATGAAGAACTGGATGTATTTGTTATGATTCAATAAGAGTGATTCCAACTTCTACTAGCAACCTCAGTAGTTGACTAACTAGTATTGGCCGATTCATGGCATTTTCGTAGACTGTGTCGTTTATCATCTGCCATCATAAATAACAACTACATGCAAACTGTCCCACAGATTTTTCATATAAGATATCCAAATTTCTGTATCTGTCTATATTTCTGAGATGAGGTATTTTACATTGCTCAGACTATCGGCCTCATCTTTGTTGCCATATTTATCACAACGTTTCGGCCATTGTACGCTCCGGCCTTCTTCAGGTGGTTGGAATGTCGAATTGAACCTTTTATTTTGCTTTGGAGAGAGGAATTATCAGTAGATAACTGATAACTGACGTCCATTAGACATGGCATGTGGAACTAGAAGAGTGAGCCACCCCAGTGAGCGAAATAAAGGGTTCAGCTCGATATTCCAAGCGATGTGATATAAAGAATTGGACTAGCTTGTCATGCTGTTTTCAATTGCTTTCACACTTTCATAAGTATGATTTAGTACGAGTCATTCCAACTCTTATGAGCAAATGCAGTATTCAGTTCACTAGTATTGACTGATTTATGGCCTTGTTGTTGACTGTGTCACTTATCATCTGTCATTGTAATAACACACACACACACACTGTTCCACAGAATTTTCATATGAGATATATAATTTTCTATCTTCAAAGTTTCAAAATATACAGTTTACATGATAATCTAAATATCCAAAATTATTATTTTGAGCAAAACTTGAACACCAACTAGCTCCTTCCTTTTTTTTCTTTGTCTCAGTGCTCTTCGTTGACCCATGTGATTATCAATGTGCTATAAAAAAAATTGGATTTATTTGTTATGCTGGTTTTCTATTGCTTTCAAACTAACATTGTAAGTACAATTTAGCACTAATGGTCCCAACTGCTACTAACAACAACAGTATTCAGCTAACTAGTATAAGTTGATCCTTGCAGTTGACTGTTCCACTTATTATCCGCTATTGGTTACTTCAGTCAATGTATCAATTGATTGATACTTACCTATATAAGCAACTGGGGAGCTGCTGTCTGCAACAGGTTTTGTTTTTTATCATTGGGGTCTGCTCTTTTAGGTGATTAAGGCTTTTTTTTTTCTCTTGCTCCGCCTCATTGACTGCCTGGCTAGGTTGGACCTGCTGGAAGATAAACTCCTGCCAGCATAGCTGTTTGGATCATAGGAACATGAAAACCATTCTACAATGTCAAGGTACTTAATTGTGGAGTAGAGAAGAAATAGCTTGCTATCTTGTCCTTCCAACTGATCTGTGTCATAGCTGACTTTTGCTTGGCATCCGTCATCATAAAAAAAATAATACTTTTTGTTCCGAATTCCCCCACACCCTGTAACCTCTTGAGTGTTTGTGACTGTACCGCTTTGCTTGCGATGATAACTATTAACAAAATAAATAAATAAATAAAAAGAAATAGATATATGCTGATTTAGTTGATTGTATTGCTTCTCATTCGCCATGGCAAAAAAAAAAAAAAGAAAAAAGAAAAAAAGAAAAGACGAATCAAATAGAATAAAACATGAAATTTCATATAGAATATTCAATTTATACAAATCTAAAGATCCAGGATATGCAAATTACACAATAATCAAAATATCAAAAATCTTTTTACACTATTTACATTGTTCGGAGTGTTGTCCTCATCTTTATTGACATATTCACGACGTTTCTGCCGTTGTACGCTCCGGCCTTCTTCAGGACATGTCTATATTTCTGAGATGAGGTATTGTAACTATTTACATAGTTCGGACTGTTGTCCTCATCTTTATTGCCATATTGACGACGTTTCTGCCGCTGTGCGCTTCGGCCTCCTTCAGGATATGTCTATATCTCTGGGATGAGATATTGTAACTATTTACATTGTTCGAACCGTTGTCCTCATCTTTATTGCTATATTCCCGACGTTTTGGCCATTGTACGCTTCGGCCTTCTTCAGGAAATGTCTATATTTCCGAGATGAGGTTTTGTAACTATTTACACTATTTACATTGCTTGTACTGTTGTCCTCATCTTTATTGCCATATTCCCGATGTTTCTGCCGTTGTATGCTCCGGCTTTCCTTTAGTTTGAATATAGATGCGAACCCTTTATTTATTCGACTGATATCACTTGAAGAAGGCCGGAGTATACAACGGCTGAAACGTCGTGAATATGACAACAAAGATGAGGACAACAGTCCGAATAATGTAAATAGTGTAAATAGTTACAATATCTCATTACAGAAAGATAGACAAAGAACAATAACCTTTTTTTTAATCTTTTACAAAACCGAAATTTTTTTTATCTATCTACAGTGATCCCTCGTTTATCGCGGTAGATTGGTTCTAAGACCGGCCGTGATAACTGAATTTCCGTGAAGTAGGGACGCCATACTTACAGTATTTATTTAACGTGTATTTGCACTTTTAAAACCCTCCCTGTACTGTTAACAACCCACCCATTATAGTAATCTATTAATAACAAGGAGAACTGTTAAGCAATAGCACTTTAGATTAAATAAAAATAAAGATTGTTACTATATTCAACACGAAAGAAGTTGAAGTAGAATTTAAATGATGATGGTGATGAATTTCCTGCGCAGTAGAAATGATGATGAAGCTGATGATGACTTCTACTGCGCAGCTGATAATTGTATTTTACGTCTCTTCGGACGGCGGTGGCCTTTTTGTATTGCTATTTTACGCTTGTTTTGTTGTTCCTAGACCAGGAGATAATATTCATTACTAATATTTTAATGGGTTTAATGAAAAATTTTAGATGTTCATATATCCCGATTTTTCTAGAATTTTCCAGAAACTCCGCGATATATTTCCCATATATTTTAAAAATCCGCGAAGTCGTGAATCCGCGATATTAGAACCGCGAATTAGCGAGGGATCACTATATGCATTTTACCTTTTTAGCTTTAACACAAAAACAATTTCGGCATTAAATTTGGATTGTAGATTTTATTTAGTGTCATATCAACACTACTATGGGTTATTTAATGCCTAAATATTTTGAACACAATTTTATGGCTTCAACTAAAGATATTTTGAACGCAATTAAATGCTTTCAACTACAGATAAAATATATTGTTGGTCATTTTGGTATAAATGGTAATTTTACTGTAAAATGTATAGTGATTTTATAATTTTACAATAACTATATATTGTTGGTAAATTTTTTAAAATAAGAATTTATATTTATATTTTCATAGAGTTTGGCTTTTGTTTATAAGGGTTTCACTAGCTGGGACTCATAAGTAAATGTAATGGATTCGATTGGAATTCGAACTCGGCACTCCGATTCCTCAATCCAATATCCATTATTCCACCATGTTTTCATAGATATTGTTAGTAATTTTACTAGTAGTAAGTATTGTTGGTAATTTTACAAGAAATATGTATTGTTGGTGATTTTTTCATATAAAATGTATTTCTGGTAGCTTTACTAAAAAAATGTATTTTTATACTTTCATAGTGTTTTAGTTTTGTTTAGTGGGGGGGGTAATTATTTGCCCATAGCTGGGATCCTAGCAGGTGCTACCACCCCAGATCAAGGTGGACCTGGGAACAACAGTAATTAAGATGTGTTTCCACGTTTCTCAAAACCTCCAATCTCCCGATCAAGACCTTGCAGGCCGGACGTAGTTTATCGTTATACCCATTAAATGACACATAAAGGGTTGATGCGCAATCAATTACTTTCAAACGTACATTTTAAGTGTAGTTCAATACTAATGATGGCAACACCGAATATGTTTCTATTATTTATTCATCCATCCTGAAAGTTATTCTCTTTTCGTGGTGATGGTGTTGTTGGTGGTAATGGTGGAGAATTTATGCTCTGCGGGGAAGACATTCTGCTGATTCCATCTCACTCGGCCTGTTCGTCTTTCTGTCTGATCTATCTATCTATTTGAAACAGTTCATATCTATCTATCTATCTATCTATCTATCTATCTATCTATCTATCTATCTATCTCAACTGGTCGATTATCTATCTATTTGAAACTGTTCATTTCTATCTATCTATCTATCTATCTATCTATCTATCTATCTATCTATCTATCTATCTCAACTGGTCGATTATCTATCTATTTGAAACTGTTCATTTCTATCTATCTATCTATCTATCTATCTATCTATCTATCTATCTATCTCAACTGGTCCATTATCTATGTATTTGAAACTATTCATATCTATCTATCTATCTATCTATCTATCTATCTATCTATCTATCTATCTCAACTGGTCGATTATCTATCTCTTTGAAACTGTTCATATCTATCTATCTATCTATCTATCTATCTATCTATCTATCTATCTATTTCATTTGTAAATTTATATATCCCATTCATTACACTCCGTCAAATGACACCTCCTATCGCTTTCCAAAATAGCAAATTCTTCTCCCTTAAATCACATAATCTGGAATTGTTTAGATTTTTAAAAAATGCCACCGATGACCCTCAATCCTGGTGGCCATTTAATCGCACATTGTTATCGCTGTAACTCAAACCTCACACGGATCAGTGTATGTGATACAACAGACGAAAACAAAACGATAGCGACGATCTGCTGGGTGACATGGCGCGGGCTGCACAGACTGGACGGGGGAAGAAGCGTTTTTCAAGTGATTACTTGTATCTCCGAACAGTAAATGGAAGAATCAGTCGCTCTTTTTTTAATCTTTTCACCACGAGCAAGGCAATAAAGCTACCGTGACACAAGTGGTTGGAGAATATGAGATAAGCTACTATTAAGGAGAGAGGACAATATATATATATATATATATATATATATATATATATATATATATATATATATATAATAAATTGGCAAGAGGATAGAATCTAGGTAGAACTCAATGTCCAGGACAGAGTAAGAAAATATATTTTTCGATTTCTTTTTGAAAATTGTAGGTCTGATGAATTGGATCGTGATTACGATTTCAATGTAATAAATTATAACCATGGAATATTAGTTTTTGAGCTTTATATATATATATATATATATATATATATATATATTAAAGGATTAACGCTTTAATTTTTAATCTGACATTTTTATATTTTTATTATTTGAAATCTTATTATATTGGATACTTCCTATTTGGAATAGACACCCTATGACACTTATGAAATTGTGTATTTTCGTCTATCGGCGTAAGAATTCGAGAATTTTTAGTAAACAAATTTGTGTTCCCCGACAGAGATCGAATCCGCACTCCCAACCTTTGTAGGGGAAACCAACGTTATGATCCATTGGGCTTTACCGCACAAGCCCAAAGAACTTCACAGCCAGCAAGGTTCTATTTCCCCTTTTTAGAGAAAGCACATCCTCACATGCTGTGACGTTGTTCGTAGCCGAGCTGTGAAGAGCAGAATATTTTCGATTCTAAAAGGTCCCTTGGCAATGGTGTTGCGCGCACATACTATCTATTATCCATTAGTCATGTTACAAGATTGAGTGTGATGGTTGTGCGAACGTTACCAGAAAGGGCCACCAAAAACGCCGTGATCACAGTCTATTGTTTTTGATGACCGTTATCGGATGCGACATGAATCTGTGTATGTTTTATTAATTGGATATTTTCGGAAATTTTATTCTTCACTTATTATTGGTATAAAGCAGAGGTCGGCAACCTTTTCCTATGTGCCGACTGAGGTTTTTAAAATCATTAAATGTGCCAACAGCATAGGTATTTTTATACAAGTCAAGGTCAATATACCAGTTCTACAATAAATTTTATATCGTAATATATACAATAGAAATAAACTTTTTAAAATTATTTTTTAAAAAGTTTTTATTATTAATGGGAGTCTAACGAGTGAGCAGTTTTGAAACAGCAAAATATGCTCTCCTTCTTTTTCAGTAACTTGCCAAAGACGTTTGATGAACGTCTCGTATGAGACACAGATAACACATTTTGTCCCTTTCTTTCAGCAGTTTTGCTTTTCGGAGACTTCAAACTGTCGTGAAATGTAGCAGAAACTTTGTTTGCTAAGATACCGTAGGTCAGGGTTCAGCAACCATTTGTTATGTGTCGACTTAGGGTTTTAAAATCATTCATTGTGCCAACAGTATACGCATTTTTATACAAGTCAAGGTCAATATATCTGTTCTACAATATATTTTATATAGTAATATATAGTATATATACTTTAGCATGTATTAAAATTGAAACAGCTAAATATCTTCTTTGAATTGTAGTAGTTATTGTGTCGGACTTCGTGATATAATTTTCGCCTGCGTGCCATTGGGAATTACTTGGTGTGGCACGCGTGCCGATCTTGATATAAAGAATTCATTGTATTTGACAGTTCCTGTGTAATTTATTTTAATCTTTGTAGTAGTTATTGTTTCGGACTTCGTGATATCATTTGCAGCTGCGTGCCATTGGAAATGGCTTTGCGTGCTACATGCGGCACGCGTGCCGTTGATTGCCGACTCTTGCTTTAGTATATATTAAAAATTGAAACAGTTAAATATTTTCTATGCATTGTAGTAGTCATTATTTCGGACTTCATGATATCATTTGCGGTTGCGTGCCATTGGAAATTGTTTTGCGTGCTACATGCGGCACGCGTGCCGTAGTTTGCAAACCCCTGCTTTAGTATATATTAAAATTGAAATAGCTAAATATCTTCTTTGTGTTGTAGCAGTTATTGTTTCGGACTTCGTGATATAATTTTCGCCTCCGTGCCATTGGGAATTGCTTGGTGTGGCACGCGTGCCGACCTTGGTATAAAGAATTCATTGTATTTGACAGTTGCTGTGTAATTTATTTTAATCTTTTTCGTTTCAGAATTCCAAATGGATGAAAGTCGGATGTACGAAATTCCAGTGTGGGTAGATGAGACCCAGAAGTGGCTCTCCGGCCTTTCGAAACGGACCACGTGTGACGACATCATCTACGCTATCCTCTACAACGAGAACCGGCACGAGACAGAAAACACCGACTCTTACATGATCTTCGAACGCTGGAAAGGCGTTGAGAAGGCACTTCAAGGACGGACCAAGATCCTTCGAGTCTGGCGGAACTGGGGTTCAGAACAGGCAAACGTCCAATTCTTAATGCGTCGGGTCGACGATATAGCTCCTTCGGGCGAATACCTGATCACAAAGCGCCGTTACAAAAAATGGCGCCATAGGCGACGTTATGAACATTGCCTTTCCCAGCAGACTACATGCCAGGGACACTGTTATGCCTACAGGACACAAAGCCAGAGCTTTTTGCCTGGCAAGTGCCATGAAAGGCGACACGATTATCCACCCGAGAAAAGCCTAGGACTTAGAAAAAACGGGGACGCCCTTGACCACGACAAACTACGACACTTACAGAAGTTAATTAGGAGCGTCATGATGCAGGAGAAAAAAATAAAGTCGATGGCCAACCGTCTGGAAGAAACGGAACTTTTAATCGAGAATTACGAGGCGAAGATACACTTCTATCGTACGCGAAAGAAAGGCGTTAATTACGTCCAGCGGTCGCTTCTTCACGATAGCACGAGCACTAGCGAGGACTCCTTGGATGATTTCATCAGCATTGAGAATATAGACCTCCTCGAGAAATACGTGGAAGCCTGCGACCAATTAATCAGCGTCTGGGAATCGCTAATTTCCGAAGAAAACACGATTGAAAACTTGGTGTCGCTTATCCGTCAATACGGGATAGAACCCTGCATGGTGCTACCCGAATGCGACCAGCATTACAATAGGGAAAGGATAAAAGGGCTACGGTTAGGCTTAAGGTCTGAGGAGAGTGAAGAAATTTTGATGGTGCCGTGGAACGTGTCTACGTCAACAGCAGACAACGGAACTGACCCCGAGATAGAAGCAGTTAATACCGAATTTAACCGTGTAATGACGGTAAGTGTGATCCAAAATATAACATCGGAACAACTGGACAAAGAGATGAAAAAATACGAAAAGCAACTGGAAGAGAAAGGGCGTTTAATTGCGAACCTTGAACACGAACTCAGATCGACGGAGCCCGAGCATTCGGTAGAAGGACCGTTACGGGAATCGGGGAGTGGCGGCCATTTTGAGTCATGTGTTACTGTTCCAGAAAAATGTGGAGTCGCGGCTCCGTGTATTGAAAACGATTTTGAGGTGAGAGTGGTGGCTCAGCCGCTATCTCTGGCGTCGTGTCCACTGCCGGAGATGCCAGAGACAGGAGTCAGTGCAAACGGTGTAGTTGTTAATGGTGAACGGCGGAAAGCAAGTGATAAAATAAATGCGCCCCCTGGCGGTCATGTTAAAGATTCTTTGTTTTCATTTAGTCAGTCTTTTGTTAAAAACGTGTCCTCAACGGAGGGATACACAGAAACATTTCCTCCAGACAGCGATAAAGGTAGTCACCATAAACACACGAGCAGTAGTATTGTCGATAACACATGTGTAAACAATAACAACATAAGTAACACCGGCAATAATGGCAATAATAATAATAATAATAATAATAATAAACAATTAGCAACATCACGTCAAGGACCGCGTGTTGGAATAATAGGAGGCGCTTTGCGGTCTGATTTTAACAGAACGAAAAGCAAACGTGACTGGTTAACGGTTCTACCCTCATTGGACAAAAACGAAAGTCAAGAGAAGGTAACGCGAAACAGCGACCTCCCCCGTGCCCAGACTTTAGCGCCAGTGTCGGACGTAACATCAAAGACAGCCAAAGATACGGAAGACGACATACAAGACCGACGCCAAACAGACGCATCCGTCTGCATTAGCCAACATCAGCATCCGTCCGACTATCAGTGCCAGCGCCAAGCGGTCGAAGAACGAAAACGCGCTGCGAATTCCAACCTGACTCCTCAGCCGGAACTGTTTCTCACGCCAGAAAACGGTTCCAGTGTATCGTGTACCATTTTTAAATTGGACAAATCAGACGACACCGACTCGACGTCGGACACGGGCCTGGGGTCAATGAACAGTGATGAATTTAATAATAGTCCCATGGAAACACTTGTATAAACGCTGATTTTAATGGAACTGGCGAGAAGAAATTAAGTCAATCAAAAAAAAAGAAATCAAAATATGATGTACAAAATATATGGACCATTTATTTCATTATTATCATTTTTTTTAATTAATAAATGTCTCATTAAAACAAAAAAAAACATTTCCTGTTGTTCCTGATTCAGTGGAACTATTTTTCTCCATCCGCTATTCTGACGAGTATCTTCATCTTTACTTGCATTATTTACATTCTTTGGATTGTTATCCTCATCTTCATTGCCTTATTCACAACATTTCGGCAGTTGTACGCTCCGGCCTTCTTCAGGT